ACACACACACACACACACACACACACACACACACACACACACACACAGAGAAAAGAAAAAAAAAAACCCAAACCACTTCTGGTCCTATGCATTTGGGGCAAGAAATCCACAACCATAACATTCTTTTTTAAATTAATGCTATGCTGTAACCAAGGCCTAATTATAGACATTTCACTGATACTTAAACATTCTAAAATACCACCGAATTCTAGACAGGTCTGATAATACATGCCTAAAATCTCAGCACTTGGGAGCCTGAGGCAGGAGGATCTTGAGTTAGTATGTGGATGAGTGTGCGTGCACACCGTAGCACAGAGGACCATTTCTAGGAGTTGGCTCTCTCCTTCACTTGCTGAGGAAAGGGCTCTCTTGTTTCTGCAATGCTGCCCACTCGAGGCTAGCTGCCTCACATCCTCCATGAACAATCCTAACTGCCCTTTTTATGTGACTGCTGGCTCTTTAACACGGCTTCCAAGGATTAAACTCAAGTCATCAAAACTAAACAAAATGATATTCCTGACACTGCTTGGAAATGATTTCAAGAATGGCACTCGGGGCTGGTAAGGTGGCTGAGTGAGTAAATGTTCGGCACGTCGGCCTAAAAACCCGAGTCTGATCCCCAGAGCCCACGGTGAAGGATGGGCCTCCTGCAAGCTGTCTTCAAGGCTGCACATGCCCCCAGTGGGCCATGTGCACCCACATACACACATAATGTTTTAAAAACTATCTTTGAGAAGAATGTTTAATTTCTAGGTAAGCCAAAGAGCATTTATTTTTTCCCTTTTATACCAAGATTACTACACACACCAGTATTCATATATATAAGGCAGGAATTAAAACAAACACTTCTGTATTACCTTCTCCTTTTACAAATAAGATAGTTGTGTCTGCACTTGGTGAAGCTTCTGGTTCACCAGACACATCTTCTTCTTCCTTATCTTCTGCCTAAGGGAAACAACATTAAAAACAGACCTGTGAAAAAGGTGAGAAATCACTGCAGCACAGACTTTCACTAGAGTGGGATAAAATACTGCTTTCTTGGTACTAGTGGTATGAATTTCTAATTTTTTTTAAGAGAACATGAACACGGTCCCGCACTGTCACAGTTTACACAGTGAGGTTTCTTGCATTGGGGAAACCCTGGAAGTGCAGTGGATTGGCCTCTCCCTAGGAAAGCTACCGCCTGGATTGTGGCTCTTCCTGCCAAGTAAGTATAATGGTGTTACTTTGCTCTACACTTCATCAGTTAAACAGAACTTCTAAGACAGCGCATGAAAATGTGCATACCAAGTCACTAGGAATCTGGTAGCTCTACCTCAGGTAAAGCCTGAAATTCTGTTTGAAATGTCATCATGGCTACCAGCACAGCCACACCTTGAACTGCAAAGTTCCTAGAACAGACACTTGCAAACTGGCTTCCTTTTAAAGGCAAACCATAAGGTCCCTCTCCCTGTCGATACTCACCTCTGCTGCTGCTGTGTGAAAGCCGCCAGACAATAATGGATGAGCAAAGCTAGATCTGGCCAGCCTGATTTGCCCAGCCCTGTTCACAACCACCTTATTAGCAGCCCTGAAAAATTTCCATTCCAATTAAGTTCCTCAAGACAATCAATCATATACCACTGAAATGGTATGGACATCCCCCCTACAAACAGCCGCCCCCCCCCCCTCCACCCCCCGCAAAGACATAGATCCTTAAATCTGAAGACTCCACAAGGTGAGATATAACTTTTGGAGGCTCAGGCAGGATTGCTTAAGCATAGGAGTTAAGAAGCCGGCTTGAGCAACTGTCTCTAAAATATAAGATGCAAGTAGGCAAATATACCTGAGATGGGGAGACTAAAAACATTCTGTAAGGATAAAATAAAAAACTATATTTGAGGGGGACAAGAGAGAGAGCAAAATTGCAACTAAGATTTGATTAATAGACTTCAGAATAGAACAAAAGAAAACGACATCAAACAGTTCAACCCACTGGAGCTATAGTAAAGCAGACAATCCTTTATGGGGGTAGGATGGACTGGAAAGTGCCAGACTCCATTGTGCATACACAAAATTGGAGGTGCTGCTATCCTGCTAAAAAAAGCAGAAATATAATATGGACTTCTTAAGGCAAGGGGCTGGAAAGGAGATCTGAAAGCCATCAACATGGCTGGAGTGGTTAACATCAACATTCACCAACACTACGGAGCAAGCAGAAGGATGTAGCCTACACAGTCCCAGGAGCAAGTAGGCAGGAAAGAGAAAGGGGTGACCCGGAAACCAACTCAAAGGGATTCAAATACTAACAGCACTAATACTAAAAAAGGGCCTGAACTATGTAACCAGAAAAATTGCAAGTAGGTTGCTGGTGACCTTAGCAATTTTCATCACACATAAAGAACAGATCCTGGAAGATAATGGATATGAAGCTAAAGTAAGAGAAAAACTACAGATTACTTTCAGGAAGTCCCTGGTATAGGCAAAGGTAAAAAGGCGAGTAGTAACTGAAGGTTGGAAGACAGTACGTCTGCATGTGTGCAGCTCCAGACCTCAGTGTCAATGAGAAGGACTGATGCTTCAGAGGCTACAAAAGTAAAGAACCCTCATCTACAGGATGAGATGGGGACCTTAGGGTGAGCACACCTCTCTGTTAGGAGGAAATGAATTAATAAGAGCTCACTACTGAAGGCCCCCACTTTGTGATACCAAAGCCAATGCTGTTGCCAAAGGACTGACACAGGGGTTAAAGCAAGCAATGTTTGAAGAGCAGATGTGAACCCAGAAAGTAAGATAAATAACTCTTCTACCTTATGATTTACCTCCTGTTACAAAGGAACACAAAGTCCAGTGCCTACGACCTGTGCAACAGCAAACCAGTCCATGTATCTCAGACCACCTCCATAAGCAGAGAGAGCAGGGAACATGGGCAGTCTATAGGGAGACAAGTTCAGTGGCCAGCGGCCAGGCATGAAAGGACAATACCGATCGAACTGAAAGAGTAACCACCTAAGGGTAGTGTTAGTATAGATTAATTAGGAAAAACAAACAAAACCTTTTAAGTCGATGGCAAAGTACCCCTCAATCTCTAGCTTTAGAAAGTGTAATCAAGGGTGTGTGTGTGTGTGTGTGTGTGTGTGAATGAATCTCAAGACAACTCAGGATTCTGCCATAATCTCCCAACTCCTCCATGCTCTGAGAGCCGAGTATAAGCTGCTAGCAGAAATTCGGGGAGTGGTTACAATGGAAGCTCTAGCTCACAGGCCCAGAGGTAACTCTGTAGTGGCTGTAGCTCTAAGAACTCATCGTTCATCGACAGTCTACACACAACGAAGGATACTTCCACTTCTTGTTTCAGCCTATCCTGACCATTTATTTTTCCGATGAGAGAAGTTTGGACCAACTTCTTAAAAAAGGATTCACACCCCATTTTGATCTCCTTTCTCCTCGGTAGGTACATTTCAGTACAAGACGGGTCAAATGATTCAGAAAAAGGATACAACCCCTCATTAAATTTCCATGTATGCAAAAATTTCAAAATCCCAAACATCATCTTTAATCCTAAATTACATTCCAACATATTCTAAATTATCTCACCCAAAGCACAGCCAAATATTTACAACTATGAAATAGGAATGCATTCATCTATTCAAGGCTGTGCATTTAATGGAATGGATTGAAGACGCAGAGCCCCGGGTGTAAGGCTTGGCACAGGTCACCAGTCAATGTCTCTTAACGGTGGGAGAGCCAGAAAAGTACACATACTAATGGTATTCTACACAAAAACAAAAAAACACCCCAAAAAACAAAAGAGCAAACCACCAGCTTAAGTGGCAGGTACATCCATAAAAATAAAAACAAACTTAAAAAAAAAATCTGTGGAGGACAGATTGCAGTACCCTTGGGCAGAAAATTAGCAAATTAGTAGGAAGCATGTTGCAATAACCCTAATTTGAGCTCTTTTTTTGTTGTTGTTTAGACTTTATGTGTATGGGTGTTTTGCCTACATGTGTATCTGTGGATCAGATGTACAGTGTCCATGGAAGCCAGAACAGGGTACCAGATCTCCTAGAACTGAAATTATAGATGTTTGTAAGCAGCTATGTGGGTGTGGAGGAAAAGAACCCGGTTCTCTGGAAGAGCAGCCAGCATCTTAACTGCTGAGCCATCTCTCTAGCTCTGAGCCAAATAGTCTCATGGTCATTATCGGAGCACACATTTCAGAGCTAACTTCTAAGAGCTCTTCTCTAACCCTTACTATTCGTAAGGAATATTTTACCACCTGCTCTTCATCTCCTGCTCCCAAAACAACACGTTACCCATTAGAACATGAACTTTGGGAAAGCAGAGAACTACTTCATCAATTCAATCCAGTACCCAGAATAGTGTCCTGCTACATGTAGAGATGCCCCATGGGAGTCAATGTCAGGTTACTGGATGAAAGCAGGCAAGCACAAAAAAGAAAAAAGACAGACTTAGAAAGCTAAGCACCTCAGGCTCCAAAGTTTAATAGCTCGGGGACTGGTGCTAACTTCATTGTACTGTTCTCCTACACTCACTTATGAATGACCTTGACTTTTTCAGTGCATCTTGTCTTCCCCTACTCCAGAAAATTCTTGCTCTCATTCTCACGTTGCCCTTAGGGGAGATGGCTCAAAGGCTTTTGCAGAGGACCCATGTCTGAAAAGGTCATAACTCTAACTCCAGCTCCAGGGAATCCAATACCCCTGGCCTCCCCAGGCATTTGCACTCATGGGCAAATAACCACACATATATAACTTAAAAATTAATTCACAAATTTGCCTATAAAAAAGAATAGATTCTTGTGCTGAGTATCTAGCTCAGAATATATCATATATATTCTAAATATAGTACACAACACTAACCAAATCTGTGGGTTCATCTTCCTCTACTTCAGCTTCATCATCTTCATCTTCAATTATTGAATCTTCCACTGTTTCTTCATCTTCTGTAAGATCTTGAGCCACAGCCAATGACCCTGAAAATAAAATTAAAAAAGAGCAGTTAACCCTTATCAGTGTCTTTAAACATCAGGTCTAGAAAAGAAAATGATACACATATAGTACACAGTCTCCTTTTATTACTATGGCAACTGAATCATGCCACTGCATAAAACATTTATATTATTTTATTAGTAGTCTTAACTACTGCTTGATAATTTTAATGGTGATGTTTTTAATATTAAAAAGCAAAACAAACAAACAAAAACCAAGCAGGCCCATGTGAATCTGATCCTTGGCAAGACCCTGCAAACTGTCCTCCAGCCTCTGCATATGCACTGCAACACACACACACACACACACACACACACACACACACACACAGTGTAATAAAAAATAAAGTAAATATTGGTAGCTTCATGGTTAGAAGCAAAGAAAAAAAATCCTTTTTTTTTTTTTGCACATGACTTCAAGCATATTTTCAGATAGGTTTAAAGTATAAAAAAATAATGATAAAGTATACCCGTAATGCTACTCTATAAATCATAGTTTTAAACACAAAACCTTTTCAACAGGTTATACTACATCGGTTTCAGGCAAAACCCTCAAAAGCCCTTCAAAGTTCTAGCAGTTCTTTCCACCACTTTTCAGAGAGTGATGATGTGGCAATTCGGTAAGGAAGGAAAATGTGGGAAAAGCCACACGTGCAACACCCAAGAGAAACAGTGTCATTAAGACCACGGGTTTTTAAGTCTTTTCACTTCCCTGAGTTAAAAAGGCTTATTCGTAGTTTGCACGTCTTTTTCAAAAGCCAGTTATAAAAGAAGAAGAAGAAAAAAAAAGGAAACCCCAAGGGGCAGTAGCTCGGTTGTTAGCGTGCAAGCCTTGCAAGCCGGAATCCCGGGGCTCATCCCCACCGCCTCATCCACCCTCATTCACGGGCTGTGGTGACAAACACCTGAAACCCAGCACAAGGATCAGAAATTCAAGGTGGTGCTGGGCTACAGACTTCGAAGCCAGTCAGGGCGACCTATATGGGACTCTGTCTCAACATCAGTCCTGTGTCCGTCCGTCCCGCACCTCCAACCAAAATCCCTAACAGTCATAACTCGGAGTCACACTAGCCACTAAGCAGAGGGCAATCACTTCTGTTTGCTTGGCTAAACAGCTCGTGAACACGGATCGTCATGGGCCACAGAAACTTAAAGGAAAGGAATTGTGGTGACCACTCACACCAATTCTTTTTGTAAACTAGAAAAACCAAAGTTCATGAAGGGCAGCTGGAAAACTTTGTACTTTTTTTTTTTTTCCACACTCTGCCAAGTTTTTAAACCTCAGGTTAACCGTTGGAATGAATCAACTTTTGAAGCTCGGGGTAACTTTTTCCCAGCACGTTTCCAACCAGCAAAAACTGGCTAGAAACGGGAGAGGGGAGGGAGGAGAAATCAGAAGAGGGGGAAGAAAGAATTCCCGCCAGGGCTGGCGAGAAGCAGAATGGGGCGTTTTGAAAGGTCCGCAGAGACCGCGATGGGCGAGCAAGGGGACCGCGCGAAGATGATGCACGGAGCCGAGGTGGAGAACCGGCTCCGGGCGAATGAATGGAAGCGCCCCGGCGTGGGGCTAGCGACACGTCAGCGCAGAGGCCGGGGGCCGAGGACCGGGGGCGGGCGGCTCGCGGCGGGCGCGGGCGGGGAGGGGAGGCCGGCCCCGGCGCGGGTTTCCCGGACCGAGCACCCCGGGCCCGCGATCGCCGCGGCGGGTCCTGGGGGGCAGCGCGGCCCCCGAGAGCCGGGCCGCGGAGAGCTGCGGGACGGGGCGGGGGGTCGCCGCGGTGCCCGACCCATCCCCAGGGCCCCTCACCTCCGGGACCACCGCGGAGCAGCACGGCGGCCGGGAAGGCCAGCAGGAACAGCAGCAGGAGGCGGGGGAGGAGTCTCATGGCGCGGCCGGTCAGCGTCCAGTGCGCGTCCGCTAGGGCTCTCGGCAGCTCCGGCGGTAATGGCGTTACTCTTCATCCGGGCCCCGCAGGAGGGGCGGGGCACGCACGCGCGCCAGCCGTCGGCCCGCCCCGCCACCGCCGACGTGGCCTCTAGGCGCCCAGGGGCGGAGCCTGCGGCCCGCTAGATCACGTGGCCGGAGGTGGGGCCCGGGGCTCCCGCGAGAGCCTTGCTGATCCGGTTTTCGGCTTCCAGATGCTCAGTTCCTTCAGTGGCCGCCCAGGGGGACCGGTCCTTGGTAAAAGAAAGGATGTGGGTAACAAAAAAGTAAAAAAAGCCATGAGTGATGCCTCTCACTGTTATCCCAATGTTTGAGGCAGGAGGATTGCGACTTCGAGACCAGCTGGGCTATGTAGCCGGTTCCAGGCAACTCTAGGCTATATAGAGTTAACATTTTGTCAGAAAATAAAGCAGAAAGGGAAACACTCACGTAGGCTGGAAAATCTACCCCCATTCTCTGCAATAACAATGAGAGTTATGGAGTTTCATTCTTTGTTTTTAATAATCTATTAAATTTTATTTTATTTTTTAATGTGCATTGGCATTTTGTCTGCATGAATGTTTGTGTGAGGGTGTCGGATCCAGGAGTTACAGACAGTTGTGAACTGCCATGTGGGTGCTGGGAATTGAACTTTCTTGAAGAGCAGCTAGTACTCTTTGCCGCTGAGCCCTCTCTCCAGCTGGAGTTTTATTCTTTTAAGTCAATCTGTGTGTGTGTGTGTGTGTGTGTGTGTGTGTGTGCGCGCGCGTGCGCGCCGTGTATAATTAGCAATGCACAGATCCAGAGGTCAGGCAGAGGACAATTTCTGGGAATCAGTTTTCTCCTTCCATCTCAATATGGGTTCTGGGTTTGAACTCTGATCGTTAATTATCCTTGCACCACACCACCTCACTCAGTACTGGAATTTTCTTATCTAACAATCCAGACTTAGAAATCACCTAGTATTTCTGCTATTTCCACAACACTACAAAATCTTACTTCTGGTATATTCCTGGAATCTTCAGCTGGACAGTGTGAAACAGGATGTGGCTGTTGGTTAAGGGCTGTTTAGTTACTTTTCTGTTGTTGCTGTGACACCATAACCAAGGCAACTTATAAATTAAATGCTTTCTTTTATAGGTTTCTTTACAATCTGAGAGGGCGAGTTCATGGCCATCATATCAGGGAGAGTGGGAGCAGGCAGATACCGTGCTGGGGCAATACCTGAGAGCTTACATATTGAGCCAAAAGGACAAGACAGGCCAGGTGTGGTGGCGTGTGTCTTTCATCCCAGCACTCGGGAAGGCAGAAGCAAGTGGATCTCTGTGAGTTTGAGGCTAGCATGGTCTACAAAGCAAGTCCAGGACAGCCAGGGCTACACAGAAAGGCTACCCTGGCCCGAAAAACAAACTAAAAAGGACAAGGCATAGATATAACTTCAGTAGTGTGAGCTTTTGAAACTTCAGAGCCCACACCCAATGACATATCTTCAACAAGGCGGGACTGTGCCTTATGGAACAGTTCCATCAACTGTGATGAAGTATTCAAACACGAGCCTGTGGGAACCATTCTCATTCAAAACACTACAGAGGCCAAGTGGCCGCCTGGATCTTCGGAGCCACCAAGTCATACAGGGAACAAATAAACTCTCCTCAGAATTCATTGGGAGATGAGTGGAGTGGAAGTCACAGCTTACATCTAAACTTAATTAGCCACAACAGGTTCAGATAGGTTGAAACATGTCCTGAGAAAGGTGAGAGAGACTGTCTTTACACTGTGAACATTGAGGGACCAGAAGTGCTCCTCACCTGAAGAAGTTAAACCTTAGAAAGCAGTGAGTGCACTGACAGTGTCTGTAACTTCACCTCAGCTGATTCTTTTATAACTTGTGGGAGCAGAAAATCACTTTCCTTAGTACTTAAGTTTGCCTCGGCATCATTAAAATTTCCTGCGCCCCGGGTTTCTCCATGTCCTTCAGAATGTCACTCATCTGTCACCTCCTGCACTTGTCCTGACCCACCTTAAAATTATAACCCTTGGATTGGAGAAACGGCTGTTCTTCCAGACCACCCAAGCTCCGTTCCTGTCACCCAAAACTACAGCCCTCCTGCCTCTCACCCTCAGGCCTCCCCTGTGTGCTTCCTAGCATTTGCCATCTTATATAGTCCATAGCTCTTGGGTCTCCTGTCTGTGAATATATCATGACACAACTAGAAAGCAGTGACACCAGAGAACTTCATTTTGTTTTGAGACAGGGCCAGCTTGTGTAGCCCAGGTTGGCCTTAAGCCTTGGACCCTCCTGCCTCAGCCTCCCAGGTGCTAATATTACAGGTGTGTGCCCTCATGCCCAGCTCCTAAATACTTGTTGAGCCAGTGAGATATGGTTTTGTTATATTTTTTCTCCTTAATTTTTTTTAAGTTTTTGGGTTTTTTTCTTTTTCAAATTTTTATTTTTTTTAAATATTAGTTATAATTTACTTTGTATCCTAGCTGTAGCTCCCTCCCTCATTCCCTCTCAATCCCATCCTCCTTCCTTCATCTCCACACTGCCACTCTCTAAGTCCACTGATAGTGGAGGTCCTCCTCACCTTCCGTATGACCCTAGCTTATCAGGACTCATCAGGACTGGCTGCAATGTCCTTCTGTGGCCTAGCAAAGCTGCTCCTACCTCCGGGGATGGGGGAGGAAGAGGTCAAAGAGCCAACCACTGAGTTCATGTCAGAGACAGTCTCCTCAAATTTTTAATCCACTTTTCATTGTAGCTCTAATAAAATATCAATCAAAACAGTTGTGTTTATTGTATATGAACAGATGCTTAAGTGTTCTTTCCTGTAGCAAGGAGCAGAAAAGAATTTTTCTGCTGTATACCTCTCAGGGGGTGGAGTAAACAAGGCTGTCCTGACCAGCTCCTCAATTAGCCAGACAGCCTCCATTCCTTCCCCAGCCTACACTTCAGAAAGAACAGGGAATCCGGTCACCAGGTTGATCACTAGAAAACCCACCACTTAACCTTCCTCTTCACCCTCAGGCTCTGTCCTCCTTTCTCTTACAGTAAAATGTTTATAGGCCAATCAGAAGCCAGTCATCATTTGCGGTTTGGATCCCATCACCTGTGTAGAGACGTGATTCTAGAGCACCCTTCTCTACATCACGGTTCCTGCTTCTCAGTGTGTCACTCCCATCAACACACACCACTGCAAACCTGACGGCTCGGAGGCCTCTCCTTTCAGTGAATCTTCACTCTCATTTAGCAGTTCTCTTCTCAGTCTAGTCCAGTTAGGCTTGGCTTCCAAATGTGTCATTAAAACCTGATAAATCCAGTGACAGTGATGTAAAGCTTCCCTCCACCTCCAGCACTGGTTTTCTTTAGGCTCTAGATTCCCACCTCTGTGGCCCCTTCTCTGCAGGATGACTAAATAACAAGCCACTGCCTGGGAGTGTCACCCCACCTGCTTTGGTTTTATATGAGGGCTTGCAGGATGGGAAGGAAGACCCTGGTGAGAGGCTGTGGGAAGACAGTCATCAGGTGCGGTTTGGAGGCCAGGGCTAAACGCAAGAAACCCTGGACAGTACAGGCCCATGGAGATGAGAGGATGAGAGTGGAAGCTGGGGAGAAAGAGCCTGGGCACAGTGGAATGAGCCTTGCTTTCCAACAAGGCCACACCTACTCCAAGGCCACACCTCCTAACGTGCCACTTCCTATAGGCCAAGCGTTCACAGACATGAGTGTGTGAGGCCGTTCCTATTCAAACCACCACAACCACATTCCTATTTGTCCTAATGCATGTCGGTCTTAGCTGATCCAGTGCTGTGTAGGCCTCCCTTCCCACCTGTCCAGAGCCCTCCAGGTTGTCTATCCAGTCAGGTCATGAGACACCCCCACCCCCGCCCCTTCCCAAAGATAGAGCCTGTCTGAACCCCTCTGGGAGGCTCTAGTGGACCATCTTGTCCAAGTGTCCCAAGGCTTGAACATTTTCTGTTTCCAAGCCCTTACAGGAGCTGCCTTATAGAGCACTCCAACAGATAGACGTGGTGATATGGTGACTTATTCAGCATGTCCTCTGGAACCATTATACTCTCCACACTTACTCCCTCTTGCATCTAACTGATTGAAGTGTAACACTGGCCTCGGTGACATGAAAGGATTTCCACCAACAGAACGTACTGATCAACAGCTGCATGTTCAGCCTCGTTTGAGGATTCGGCAAAGGGTTGGAATGGGGAGGGTAGGGACAGGGCATACAGGAAGCCAACCAGGATATAACCAATAGGTCACATGTTTGGTATGCAGACAATGGGGCACCTGATTTGCATTTCCAGACCCACATTTTTAAAGAGCTGAGTAGTGCTGCATGCTTGTAGTATTGGCACTGTGGAGATGGAGACAGGAAGATTCCTGGGCTCACTGGCCACCCAGCCTGGCCTATTTGTTCTAGGCCAGTGAGAGATCCTGTGTCAAAAACAACATGGATGACTCCTGGGGAGGAACAGCCAAGTTTGTCCACCACCACATGCACACATCAAATAACTTCAGGAATGAATATTTAATCAAGTATTACTGTCAGTTCACATGGAAACAGAACATTCTTTACAGTGGCCATCAAGATGACCTACCAATGTCATGGACTTCGGGCGACTTTCTAATCTTGGTCTGTAAGAAAGAAAGAAAGACGATGTTAAAATGGGGAGAGAAGACTAAAATAGTGATTATGGTGAAAAATACACCATTATTGGCATATTTGCCTCTCACTTTCAAGAACTTGTCATTTATATCAAACTATAAGACCCTAAAAAGATGAAGCTTTTCAGCACATAGTGTGCGGTCCGTGCTCAGTGTGGAGCTCGCCCAACACAGTCTCCTTATATTGAATAGGCTCCTAACTTACTTAAGTCAGGACTCAGCTTCAAAATGAAACCTACAAAATCTTGCAAGTGCTGAAGCAAAAAATTCGACACCCAGGGACGGAGATGGCTCAGTGGCTGAGAGTTTGTGCTGCTCTTGCGGGGGACCAGAGTCTGGTTCCCAGCACCCACATCAGGTGGCTCACCACAAAACTAACTGCAGATCAGAGGGGTGCGAAGCCTCTGGCCTCTGTGGTCACCTGCACTCACGTGTACATACCCACACACAGGCACAGACACACACAAAAACATTTTAAAGAGACACCTGGGACTGTCTCTTAATCCCAAAGTTCCAGTGTTTCCACTGCCTGAAACAACTGGGCAGATTCTGCACCGTAATTTTGAGGAGAAAATTAGGGGAAGTCTCAAGCTGAACTTCTGATGGGGACACTGAAGTCAGCAGGTGAGTCAAGACTTCAGAGTTAGTCATGGCTGAAGCCTGCAGGGGGTCTGGAGTTTTCACACAAATGGAGTTACCATCTAGGAGCCCTTGTGACCTCTTTCCCTTGTTTCAAAGACAATAAATCCATATAAATAAATGTGTAAAAATAAATGTGACAAGTCAACAAATGTCTCAACTGGTAAATGTATAAAGTTATATAAAAATATTTTAAAGTGATTCTAGAAATAAAACCCATAGTTTGTTTCTAGGACTCAGAGAAAACCCACACTGTGTTAAAAGTGAAAGTCAAAACTCCTGAGCGCACACCTGTGATCTCAGCACTCAGAGAGGCAGAGGCAGGTGGTCTCTGTGAGTTTGAGGCCAGCCTGGTCTATAAAGTGAGTCCATACAGAAAAGGCTACACAGAGAAACCCTGTCTTGAAAAACAAAACAAATAAAAAACAAAACTCCTGAGCAGATTTAAAACTAGTGTTTGCAAAGTGATCATATAAAATAACTGACTTTTCTAACTTTCCAATTTTAGTATTATATGTACTGCTGAAGCTAGAACCCAGCTGTAAGACAGTCAACCCACGAGATTATGTACTTACCCTATAGCACTGAGCTACGTGTCTGAATGAGACTCTTCTAAAATTAAAGAATTTAAGATTTTTGTATTAGTGGAGGGAGTCGGTTTATAAACATGTAGAAGGTAGCGTCTTTATTGAAGACAAGAACCTCAGCTCATAACCTGTGTAGTATCAGGCATATAGCTTCTGTGACAGCAGGCAGCCTGGCCTTCTAATTCAAGCTCCACAAAACCTATGGTAACAAGGTAGGTGGAACATGCCTGTAATCTCAGAACTCAGGAGCCGTTGGTGAAAGGATTTTGTTTTGCAATCTGTGCTGCATAGCAAAACATAGTTAAAAAAAACAAAAACAGAACCCAGATGTGAGACCAGCTCAAAAACAGGATAAAAAAAAAATCTTTTTGACACAGGATCTTGCTAAACTTTGGGATAGCTGGGGGTTTTAGGTGTGTGCCAGTGTGCAAGGCCTACAAGAAAACGTTGATCAAGTTACTGTTTTATACTAGGAAAGTACAAAATACTTCATACTTATCTTAAATAAAGACATAAGGAGAGAAAAGTTTTAAAATATATTATTTACTAAATGTATTTTAAACACTTTTTTTTTTAAACAAAAGGAAAACTTACCTTGGCCTTCTGGTTTTCTCTCTGGGCGTTCTAATTAAATCTTCCAAATGTCTATTTCTCTCTTCCAAACTAAAGGAAGAAACAATTGCATTTTACACAAAATGGACTTTTCTAGATAAATATTTTGTAGATTCTTTGGAGACTGTCTTAGTTACTGTTCTAGTGCTGTGAAGAGACATTATGATCAAGGCAATTTTTACAGAAAGTATATAATTGGGGGCTTGCTTATACTTTTAGAGGATTAGTCCATTATCATCATGGCAGGAAGCAGGCAGGCATGGCACTCAATCAGTGGCTGAGAGCTTTACATCCTAATCCACAAAGAGCAAGCAGAGAGAAAAAGAGAGAGACTGGGCTTGGCATGGGCTTTTGGAACCAAGCCCCCCCCCCCCCGACACACTGTCTCCAACAATGTCACACCTCCTAATCCTTCCCAAACAGTTCCAGTAATAGTGGCCCAAGCATTCAAATATAGGAGAGGCATTCTTACTCAAACCGCCACAGAAACTGTGAGTAGATACTATAAAAATTATGAGCTAAGGTTTTTATCTATAATAAATTACTCTGTTACATATTTTATGATCAGATCTTCCTCAAAACTAACATTAATCCAAAGCTAATCATGAGTCATCTGTTTATCTCATCATATAGAAATCTGGGTATTTTCCTGGAAATTCAGAATACATGGTCAATTTTTCCCTTTATAAGTTCCAGGGCTAAAGATAGTAATAGATAATAGCAAATATATAGAATGCATTTGGCTATTCTTGTCTGTTTGCACAGTGGGTGCACTGTAATATAGCCTAGAGGTGTGTTAACAGAGACCCTCATCTGGGGCTGCTTTACCACAGGTAAACGCCTGGTAGTCTCACTGCATGGTCCCAGCATTCTGTTAGCCTGCTAGAGATGCGCCTGTTTTCTGGTTTTATGCATTAAGAAGGGGGAGGGAATCAAAGCAAGAGAGACATTTAGAATCTCAAATAGACTCTTCAGGACACAGAGTCATGTTCAAAACAAACAGAACTAAAAGCTACAAGGGGAAAAAAGGCCAACCCACCTACAAAGGCAAATACAGTGCATCAAACCTCTCAAAGGAAACCCCAAAATCCAGGGAAAACATGGAATGCTATATTTCAAGTCCTAAAAGCAAGTAACTTCCAAATAAGATTGTTATAGCCAGCAAATTGTCTTTAGAATGGTAGAGAGATATGGATATTTTAAGACAAACACAAACTAAAACAATTCAGAGGGCTACCAAGTCAGCATGGCAAAGGATACCTAAAGGAACCCTAAATACAGAGGAAGAACCAAGAGTCTGAACCAAGGAGCACAATAAACTTACAACCCCCTAATATGAATAGGAGAGATAGAAAAGAACATCTACTAATCCAATTAACCAGAGAAACAAGCAGCCAAATTACAGGAGTCAGCACAGAGCTCTAATAACCAACCCTGAGTGGAAGTGCTTTAAGCTGCCCAACTAACCAACCCAAAGACACAGGCTGGCTGATTGGATTAAAAAGGATGATCCAAAGTTCCTTTGTCTCTAGGAAATGCATCTCAGAGGCAAAATAAATAAATAAATAAAATAATAATAATAATAAATAAAAATAAATAAAAAATAAAAAAACAAAAACAAAAACGGTCACAGACTGAAAGTGACAGGATGGAATTCAATTTTCCAAGCAAAGGAAAGTCAACAGCCATGGCAGAGCTCAGCAAACACCAGAGGTATAAGAGGTCGGTGAGATGGCTCAGTGAACAAAAATTCTTGCCCTCAATCTGGTTTGTATCCCCAGACAGAACCCAGGAAGGAGATGGCGCCCAAAAGTTGTTCTCTGACCTACACACACACTCACACACAAACACACACACAAGCCTATGCACATACATTGAACATACAACAAATAAACAACCTGGAGAAAACAAAAACCCAAACAAAATGTTATGGATGTAAAGCAGATGTGTTTACCTGGTTTAGGTCATAATGTAGAACATTTGGTACCGTCCTCATTTTGTACCCCTAGAACCACGACTTAGAACCATCATTTAGGCTGTTAGGACATTTCTATACCTGAATTTCTTCTTCTAACGTTAATAGTCACTTTTGGAAAGTGACACGAACACGGGGTGATCTCTGTTTACACTGTGTCATAGCAACAATTTAAGGGGTTTCTTGTCTTCCTTCTCCCTAACTCCTACCTGATATAAACCCTTACACCCCAAACTTCCAGCTACTTCTGGTATTTTGTTAAGCGAAGCCTTCAAGTTGTATTTGGAATGGGAATAAAGCAGAGCTGTTCTCAGTGCCCATCTCTTGATCTTTATCTGCTGGATTCCTGTCTCCAGCTTTTACATATTCACAAAAACGGACCATCTAGGCCTCCATTGTAGGGCTTGTCAGCTAGGCCCCTCCCTTCTTGGGAAAGATGTGAAGGGATGGAATATGGGTGCCACCCGCCCAACCCGCAAGGAGTCTTCTGTGAAGGTGGTTGTTGTCCACCAGGCGGGAGGGGCAGTGGGGGCGGTGCCGACAAACCCAGGTCTGCTCTGCTGATCAGCTGCAGGGCTGCGGGTGGAGGGCACAGGCAGGGTGAAGGGTTGCGGGTGCAGGGCACAGGCAGGGTAGGGTGGGCGCTTCATCCTGAAGAAGAGAGTGAAGCTGATGTTCGTGAGGATGCAGTGAGAGCCAACTGATTCCTCACGGAGAACTTCAAAAGGAAAGCATAAAGCCCTTGAACCCTTGAGTCTCCTTCGTGGCCAGTGGCTCAGTCATCAACACGGCTCTACCACCACCCTCTAGGCCTGGGGCCATGGTCTTCTTGTAAGAGCTCTTCCGGTGACCGGATTGAGCAGGATAGGCAGGAACAGCACCTCGCTCCAGCAGCGAGGTTACAAGAAGCCCAAGGCTAGTGAAGATTTTTTGAAATAGGAAATGGAGTTCAAGGACAGCCAAGGCTCCACAGAGAAACTCTGTCGAGAAGGAAGGATGAAGGAAGGAGGGAGGGAAGGAGGGAAGGAAGGAAAGGAAGGAAGGGAATAAGAGAAAGAAAGAAAAGAGAGAAAGAAAAAGGAAAGAAGAGAAAGAGAGAAAGGAGGAAGGAAGGAAGGAAGGAAGGAA